GAGCTCCAAAGTGTCTACTTCTGGTAAAGGTTTAAGATTTCTTTTTTCCATCTTCTGCAGATTGTTTATGTAGCCCGCAATGCAAAGGACAACATGGTGTCTTATTTCCACTTTGATCGCATGAATGTGGTTGAGCCAGAGGCTGGAGAATGGAATAACTACTTCCACAGATTTTTGGAAGGACAAAGTATGCATAAATAATACAGTTATCCTTCGTGTGAGGTGTAGATCTTTTCCTCTCATTGCTTAAGTGTTGTTCTTTGATCTTAGTGGTATTTGGCTCCTGGTATGACCATGTGAATGGCTGGTGGAAGAAGAAACAGACTTACTCAAATATTCATTACATGTTCTATGAAGATATGATTGAGGTAATCTGATTTCTTCATTGGCACTTTCTTCTGCATGTTCTCATGCTCTCATCCAGGCGGTTTTAATGCTGCGATTAATTCCATGATGTGTTTCCAGGACACTGAACGGGAAATAGACAAACTCTGCAGCTTCCTCGGTTTGTCTCGTTCAGCTGAGGAGAAGAAAATGATCTCAGGTGGAGTCCAGTTTGATAACATGAAAAAGAATGAGATGGCCAACTATTCTACAGCCCCGGTTATGGATTTCAAGATTTCTCCCTTCATGAGAAAAGGTACAGTGAACAGTAATGTGATGCATTTGGTAACATTAGGAAAAATACCTGAATTATTATTTTTTTCTGCAGGGAAGGTTGGCGACTGGAAGAACCACTTCACCGTCGCTCAGAATGAAGTGTTTGATGAAGACTACAAGAAGAAGATGAAAGATCCCACACTTCAGTTCCGCACTGAAATTTGAACAGAGCCAGGCATACAGACTGGATATAGTCTGAAAAAAATTGAAGTATGAAATAAGCCAGAAGTGCTGATCTGTTTATTGAAATAAATAAACTTACAAATCACAAACGTATGAATCATCAGTTAACAGGAATGTCATCTCTGACAGTGAATATTTAAGACATGTATGTGCCCAAAACAGCCCATACCGTCTTGACTTTTTAAAAAGATCAAACAGATACTGCTGAACAGTACTGTTTAACAAAACAAGATCTTAATCTGTTAAAAATTGAATCTTCATTTTTCTGGTTTTGATTGCAGTTGGCATACTTTGATGTTGCATCACTGTTGTCTTCAGTTTCATTATTGTTTCATTGATGTCCGTAGTCTTCTTAGTTGTACATGAATGCATGATTTATACTTATTACACACTCGCTTTACTCATTAGGGTACATCTGTTCAACTGCTCGTTAACGCACAGATCCAATCAGCCAATCGTATGGCAGCAACTCTGTGTTTAAAAAGAAAATCAGAATGGCATGGTTGCTAAGCTGGTCTAAGTAATTCAATGGGACTACAAGGATTTTCCAGCAAATAGAGACAAAAAAGGAAAATAGCCAATGAGCAGCACTTACCTGGGTGTAAATGACATGTTGATGTGTTAGGAGCTCAGAGAAGAATGATTAGACTGATTGAACCTAACAGGAAAGCACTAAAATAACCACTTGTTATAGCCAAGGTAAGCAGAAGAGCATCTCTGAACACACAGTTGAAGACCACAGTGGGCCCCACTAATATCACCTAAGAACAGGAAACTGAGGATATAATTTGTACGTGCTCACCAAAATTGGAGGATGGGGGGAAAAAAATGTGTGGGCACATTTTCTTGGTACACTGAACATTGTTTAAATGCCACAACCTACCTTAGTACTGCTGCTGACCATTTCCATCTTGAACATTACCTCCAGTCTGCTGTTTCTATTTTCTAGGCCCCTTGCTTCTCCCCTCCCCTTTTGATCCCCTTTCGTTGCATCACTCAGTTTGTTCCATTTGTTTAGGCCTGTGTCCTACTACTATGTGAATCAGTGACAAAATTTGCTTTGCATTATACATTTTGAAAAGATACATGTTTCAATGCCTGGAACCAACACATTAATTTTAATACACTATATTTATAGGAAACACAACGGTTATCTACGTTACTGATCTGCAGTATTTTGGTCAGAAAACATAGTTCTGTCAAAACAAGGCAACATACACCAAGTACCAAAGTCTGACTCAGCGGAAACAAAAGCATGGGGAACAGGGGTTATACTGGGATTTAGGATGTAGGGGAAGCCTAAGAATTTCTACATCAGGGTACACCTCAAGCTAAACAAACTAATTTGTAGTCTTTGTGGACAGGCTGCACCATTAGATTAACAATAAAAAAAAATTTCCCTCAGTTTTGGACAGTACTGGTTATATGTTACAGACATAGTCTCTATCGAACATGTTAGCATACCATCCATGGCTAGTAAGTCATCTGTGGAATC